CTTTGACCGTGTCCGAAATGCTGAGATTGGTAATAAAGATTTTGAGCTTGATGTCCTGGAGGAAGCATATACCACAGAACATTGGCTGGTCAGGATATACAAGGTGAGTGATGCTATACTGTTTTAGAAAGTGACCCTCATGTTTGCAGATAGGTTCTAGTGCTTAAATAATAGGCCACCATATTTCTTAAATGGGGGTATTTCTGATGACACCTGTATCTGAAAGATAACTTGCAATTCATTCAGAATTTTACTTTTAAAATTTTAAGTTATCCTTAGAGTAGATCTCCCAGTGGCTGTCATTTTAGCAGTTGGTGCAGCAACATTTTTTCCAGTTGTTATTTAGATCTGAATGTTTCAGTGCTCAGGCCTGAGGGGAGAAAAGAAAGAGAAAATTCGTGTGTTTGTTTCTGAACTACATTACTTGTCTCCTACTGAGGAATTGATGGTAAAAAGAGACATGTAATCACATGAGTGTGCTATAGCTCTTACATAAAAAAAGATTGAGCCAGGCGCAGTGTCGCACATGTGTAACTCAGTGGCTCAGGAGGCTGAGGCAGGAGGAACACAAGTTCTAAGCCAGCCTCAGCAACATAGCGAGACCAACTTAGCAAGACCCTGTCTCAAACTAAAAAGAAGTGGACAGGGATGTGGCTCAGTGCTTAAGTACTCCTGGGTTCAATCCCTGGTACAAAAAAGAAAAAAGAAAAGATTGAGAGCCTTTGATAATGTGAAGAGAAAATTATTTACTGTCTCATAGAGATACTCTGTAAGATTAAGCAGTGTTACCAGACCTTCTAACCCATGTTTATTTATTCACAGTGTCAAACCAGGCAGCAGAACCAAACATAATCCAACCTGCTCTGGGTGAACCCATTTCACTAGAAAAAACTCTTCAAAGTTGACCTGGTTATCAGTATTAATTTAATTGACTTTTTTTTTTTTTGGTGTGTGTATGTGTGTGTGCAGGTAAAGGACCTGGATAATCGAGGCTTGTCAAGGACGTAAATGTCACATCCAGCTATGATACGCTTTGCACTGAGCGCCTCATATTTAGAATGTTGAAGATTTTTTTTTATATGCAGTTTATAAGAACAGAGCCGGATGGCATTAGAATCGTCTGGAAGTTTTGCCCTGGACAGTATGGGCTGGGCCAAAATGGAATGATTTTTATAATTCTGAGCAGGTTACCAAATGAAATGTCATGGATTTACTTTGGTCAATTAAAGGGGGGAATTTTTTTAAAAAAATGTGCCTTATTTGTTTTGACTTAATGGCTGATTTGAAGACAAAAATTTCTGCTGGGTTGCTCAAAGGACATATAGCAGACTTTACCAATGCTCTTAGCTCCCTGAACCAGGTAGGAGGAGCATTCTTTTTCTCTTATATCAGGAAAACTATTAAGGACTAGCTCTGATTCTACATTATATGAACAGTTTTGTCATACTGTCTGTATTGTAGCACTTAGTGTGAAGCCTTGCACATAGTAGGTGCTCAATAAATTTTTATCAAATGAATAAATGTTTATGGAACAAGAGAGTGCTATTTCTGGGCAGGAAAGACAGCTTTCTTGCTGTTATGTCTCTATTTGCAATGTCTCTCATCTTTAGAGGTGCTTTGACTTTATAAGGGATAGAAAGTGGCTAGCCAGACCTGATCTCACCAGTACTCTTTGGGACTAGTGAGGGTTTTTATTTTTTTAGAGCAGGAATAAATCAAGTGTAACTAAATCAAACAGTGAAATGTTATCAGTGGAGAGGGAGAATCTCTTTCAATGTTATGTGTAGAGCTTGATAATCAGTAGATGCTTGTGAATCAGCTTAAATATAATTATAAACATCTATTTGAAATTTAATTTTTCAGTACTTTCACCAAATTGTAACACTTCCCTGAAGGCTTTAGTTTCATTTCCTTTAGCCTATGCACTAAAACTCTTGTGGTTGTTTAGAGGTAAGCGTCTCTCCTTGTCTCAGTCTACTGTGTGTTTTTTTTTCTTTTGTGGTGCAGGGGATTGAACCCAGGGCCTTGTGCATGCAAGGCAAGCACTCTGCCAACTGAACTATATCCCCAGCCCAGTCTATTTCTTTTATATACCACTTCAGTCAAGTTTAATTACCAGGTTTTGAAATCCTTGCTTAATAAACTACAATTTAGAAGGAGGACACATTGCCAGCCTGACTGCTAGAAGAGAAACATCTTAAAAATGTTTAGCTCCAAAGCACAATGGACCCATAGATGTTTAACATCAAGATAGCTTCCTGTACAGTTCAGTCAGACATTTTATTTATTTATTTTTAAACTACATAAGACATATATCACTGAGGTATATAAGCCCTAAGTCTTTAAAATATATGAGGAAACTGTCTAGTGTTACATGTTTAATAAAATAGAAGGAATTCATGGCTTTTAGATAAATCAAAATCATATAATAGTACCCCGAAGGATATGCTTGGGTATACTTTGATATCTAGGGAACTTAACCTTCCAAGTCAGTTTATATTCCATGTGGTTGAGATTTAGATTTAAAATAAGATTTGACTTACTATATGTAAATATATTATTTAATTTATATAGAGAATTATTCCCAAATGGAAGAGGTTATTCTGAGTTCATCAGTATGATAATACTAATAAGAGATTATTAATTAGTTGCTTCCGTAGTATAACTGGGATAACACTTTTGTCAGTATAATTGTGACTCTTTGGGTTCTAATTTTGTTAGTCTCCAGACTATATGGAACTATATCCCCAGTCCTTTTTATTTTGAGACAGTGTCTAAGTTGCTGTGATTGGCCTTGAACTTGGGATCTTTCTGCCTCCGCCTCCCAAGTAGCAGAGATTACAGGTTTCTGCCACTGCACTCAGCATGAAGCTTTCTTTTTTAAAAATTGACTTTCAATTTTTATTGTTATAATTTACTTAATATAAAAAGTTCTTAAAAAGCAACAAGACAGTGTTTTCTACTCCCCAAGACATCAACTTTCAACTTTGAAGATTCTCACTTCTGTATCATTAAATGACTTGCTTTAGTTTGCTGTTTTAGTGTTTCTTTGTCCATTTTCTGGTCTGTAGACACGTTGTTACTCTTTCCTTTTATAGTTTTATTGTAATTATTACATCCTGTTCTATTATAATTATTTATTCAATTTTTTTATAGTTATAATTTAGATTAAATCAATAATTCTTACCTGGATATTCTCAATTAAGCCATATGTACTATTATTATTAACTATTTTTCTAGCATAACTTTTTTTTAATTGGAGATTTTTCTTCATTGGAGATTTCTTTTTTTTTTTTTTTTTTTTACTTGTCACTTGTTTTGTTTCCCAGTTTGCCTTGATGTGTGTCACTTTCTTAATATGTTTGAACATATTAGGTATTCATTCTTGGGAATGTCTTCTATTTTGGTATGTTGCAGTTTGAATCGGTTTACTCTCCAGGGTTACTAGGTTGTATCATTTTTTTTTAATATTTATATTTTTGGTTGTAGTTGGTCACAATACCTTTATTTTATTTATTTATTTTATTTTATGTGGTGCTGAGGATCGAATCCAGGGCCTTGCTAGGCAAGCACTCTACCACTGAGCCACAATCCCAGCCCCTAGGTTATATCATTTCACAGGTGCTTTTTTTGTGTGTTAATCCTTTTTTTTTTTTTTTTTTGGTAATACTGGGACTGGTTGCAGAGCCTTGTGCATACTAGGCAAGTGCCCTACTACTACATCCCAAGCCCTATTTTACTTCTTTCTTGATTTTTATCACCTTTTAAGTATCTTAGAAAGGGTATGGGAGAGAATTTTGGGAGATTTTGTGTTTTTTTCACACTGAACTTGTAAATTCACTAAGTATATTTTGGAAATAATTTTTCCTTGGGATCATGAAGGGATTGACTCATTGTTTTCTGTCTTCCAAATGTTGAGAAATGCAATACTATTCTAATTATTATTCCCTTTTTCTTACTATAAATAGGAGTTGTTTGGATGTTGGACTTCCTGAATCAGTCTCCTAATGTTCTCATTTTTACTTTTCTATTTTTCATCTTCTTCCATCTGGGAAGAGTTCCTCAAGTGTATTTTAAAAACTATTTTAAAATAGTTTTTTTGTTTCAAAATTCCTCCTTTGACATCAACTGAAGACTCTCAATTCTTGGTTGTTTGCTCTTTTTAGAGAGTGGGACATAAAAAGCTGATTGAAAAGGCTTTTGGATGGCAGGTGGTGCTTATTTATGTGTTTTTCAATCTGCTGTGATCTGGCTGGGCTATTACACCGGAAAGTCTAGTACTGGTAGCTAGGTATTTTTCTCTTACATAGATCAGATTTCCTCAAGGCATATAATCTCTTACTCAAGGACAAGCCAGGCTATCAGTTTTCTGGGAGTAGGGAAAAAAAGCCTATAGTCTCAATTTTCAGTGTTTACAATTAAAATTAATTCCTCTGTGTTCAGTTAAGGTACCTAAAAGCTTTTAACTGTCCTTATTTATTTCCAGTTCAAATATCACATAATTACTAAGTCTTGACCCAGCTTTGGAGAGAAGCAGTTCTTTTAGGTAGAAGTCTATTTGCTTCTTATAAAGTCTTTCAACCTACCCTCTTTTTGCCCCACTTTCACCTCCACATTCAGAGTTGCCTGGTGTCACCAATTCAAGTTGAGGCTTTTAGGATTTCTGAGATGTAAATCGTTGCTTTATTGCATTCTTATTGCCAGTTTTGGGTTTCATCTTTATTTCATTTAAGTTAGTTACCTTCCATGTCAAGGCTTTCCAAAATTGTTTTATACTCATTCTTAGAGGTTACTGTCTTCTAAAAATTTATCTTTTACTATTTTGTTAGTCATTTCCAAAGGGCACAGAGGCAATTCTTTCTCATATATGCTGTATTTAACTGATATTGTGTTTTTTCAGGAAAAATTTGAATTCTACCCAGGCACACTGGAACTGGTAGAGATCCTTCTCTTCTTATCTTTGTTTTCAGCACACAGAGAGGAAATCAGGGAGGATGGAGTAAACTAGAAAACATTACATGAAATCTAAATTGATATCATGGTTCAAAACTTCACACCCAAGCATTTGCAGTTTGTCCCCGACTTTGCTTTTTTAAAACAGATGTATGCATTCTTTTATGTGTAATATATTTTACTCCATTACTAGTATTGCAAGTTATCTTGAATGTATTTGGCTTGATTTTGAAGAAGGGGGGAATTTAATGTACTTGCCTGTGCCTTCAATTCTCAGTCTACTGCAGGGGAATACCCATTTCAGTTTTTCCTGGCTTATTTTGTTCTCAAATCCCTTTCTTTGGAATTTTCTTCTCTTTAAATTGGTTACTTTAAAAATTTTGCATTGTAAAATTTATACTGGCTTTTACTTGCCCGTTTTTTACACATTAAGAACAAGAAAGTTGCTAGAACTAAGCTAGGCAGATGGTCTCATCCTTCAAAGTTAAGGCTGAATTAAAGTATTGTTTTGAAGTCTATTCACCCACAAGGCAAAACTGGTTATCCTGATATTACCTCAGATTCTCCCCAGATTACTTTATTCCAGTACTCTTCCACCTCCCTTAATGTGTGGCCACTTTTGATGGCTCTCCCCTCCAACACAAAACCCCTCTTCACCACAGCTGTTGATAGTAGGCACTCGGTCCCGCATTCCAAAGTTGAGAAATCTGGAGCCTCCTTGGTCTTTTCGGGCTGCCAGGCCAGGTGCTCAGAGGTCACAGGCTGGTGGGTTTCCGTAGGCAATTTATGGCCTTTCCAGGCCCAGAGTGGCCGGGAACAAAGCGGGGACCACCGCCAGGAGGCGCAGCCCATGGGGATGGAGGCGTCGGCCCTGCCCCAGAGCGCCCGAAGCCGCGCAGCGGAGCCCCACACACCGAATGTCATTTCACACAGACCAAGAGATCAATTCGCTGGTCGGTTCGTCAATCTTTTCAGCTAGGATCTGCTCCACACCTCCAAGGAACCCAGGCTAGACCAGCTCAGAACTGGCAAGAGGGATTACACCGCTCAGGTGTTTTGAGCCGCCAATCTTCAGAGGGACGCGGGAACGCGCGTCGTCCTGCTTTACGGCAAGGGTGCGCGCGTTTGCGGCAGCGTGACGCAAACAAATTTTGGCGGGAAAAGCGCTGCATTTGGATTCCTGTGGTGGCGGGCAAAGGACAGCTTGGTGAGGAGGGGCGGCCGGTAGGGCGAAAAAGGGGTCTGGAGAAGGAGTTAGGAGTCTAGATTAGTGAGGAGGAGCACGGTGAGATAATGGTACTATTGAGCGGAGGGGATGGGAGATCCTCCAGCGGAGGGGCGGTTTTGGAGAGTGGAGGAGTGTGGTACCTCGGGGTCCTCATTGTAAAGGGTGTGGGGGGAAAGGGAGGCTACCTTTCTGCTAGCTGGGGACCTCAGAAGTTTGGGCGCCGTCCTGGGTCCCAGCCCTTCCTTCCGCTTCTACGGGTAGTTTGGCCCCGCCCCGGGCTCCTCCCGGCCTTTGGGACGGGTGGGGTGGGGGTGGGAATTGGAACTGTGCAAGTGGGGAGGAGGGGCTGCAGTAGCTGCAGTTATTCCAACCCCTCTTCTAGCCCACATCCCCTTACTCTCTTCCCCAGACTCCCACCACTTCTACCCGCTTCCCCAGTCATTCACCCGAAAGCATCCGTCTTCCCACTTCTCACCGCAACTTTTAAATTTCCCGTGAGGCCTGAGGAGGGCAGAGTTTCAGCCCTCGGTGTGCAAGGGAATGGGGATTGCGATTTCGGCAATCAAATGCCTAAACTTAAAATACTTGTTTGGGGTTTAAAGACTTGGATAAATGTGAATGAGATGTAAGGGGAAACCAAGCTGTTGTGAGGGATCATGGCAGGAAGCAGAGCGCGGTGGCTTTACAGGTGATCTGAGCTTATGCTCCTTCCTTATTTTTCGGGTTCCTGCGTTTTACAGCCGTGGTGCTCTGTGGAGTCATGGCAGTGCCCTTTGTGGAAGACTGGGACTTGGTGCAAACCCTAGGAGAAGGTGCCTATGGAGAGTGAGTTTGAATCCGAATATTATCTTGCTTTCACGCTTGCTTTAGTTTTCTATTGTTTTGTCTTAGTATGTATTTGTTGTTTTGGGCTTGTTTTTTCCAATACATGGCGCTTTAGAGATCAGATCTTTGCAAACCAAGGCTTTTAGCAAGTGAAATTGCACAATTTTTGTAAGGATTAATATTTCTGATTATTTTTGCATTTTTTATTTTTCTTTATCAAGAGCTGCAAAAGATCTGTTGAGATTATTGTTTCCTCAAACAACCACATAGTTTTGGGCTTTAAGAATAGTGGCTAAATGAGCAGACTTTGGGGATGGCCTGCCTGGTTTCAGATCTTAAATCTGTCGCATACTGGGCTTGTTTTGTGGACTTAGATGAGCATCCCAATGTTGTATGTCTCCGTTTTCCTCATTTATATAAGATGAGAATAACAGTACCTACTCCAAAGGTGCTTAGTACTTTTATCACAGTCATATGTAGCATGAGATTAATAAATGTTAGGTAATGCTATTAAAATTATGTGAATAGAACTAGTATATATGTGAACTAGAATTGCTATTATCCCAATTTAGCTTACTTTATCAAGCATTTTTTAAATGACTTGCATGTACAACATAATGACTTCTTTGGAGTAATAGCCATAGTAATTCACCTTTCAGAAAGGACCAGTATCTGTTGAAAATATGGCAGAAACCATTTCCTTGGTTTCCTTGGTGGAGAAAGTAGTAAAGATAAAAACAATTTTGGATTTGTCATGTTTAATCTTTTGAAGCTCTAAAAGAGAATTCAAAAGTCTACAATGTTATAACTCTTGTTTTCCTTTTTTTTAGAGTTCAACTTGCTGTGAATAGAATAACAGAAGAAGCAGTTGCAGTGAAGATTGTAGATATGAAGCGTGCCATAGATTGTCCAGAAAACATTAAGAAAGAGATCTGTATCAATAAAATGTTAAATCATGAAAATGTAGTGAAATTCTACGGTCACAGGAGAGAAGGAAATATCCAGTATCTATTTCTGGAGTACTGTAGTGGGGGAGAGCTTTTTGATAGAATAGGTATGGAAACAATTTAAGATATTTATTCTACTGAATAAGTTTCTAAGTTTGTTTTGTTTGTTTTTTAATATTGAATAGCTAGTCCCTCATTTTCCCCTTAAGTTTTTCCAATATTGAAATTGAAGTAAAAATTCCTTTTTTTTTCTGGCTAATTTTACTAATATATGAAAACATATAGTATCAATGAAAGAAAACTGTCCTTAAGTTATAAGTAATTTTTTCAGGATTGCTGTATTATGTAATTTAAAATGATAAGCTGTAGTTTGATGATGAAGTATAAATACATAATAAGCTGAGCTCAGTGGCACATGTTGTAATCCCAGTTACTCAGGAAGCAGAGGCAGGAAGATGGCAAGTTCAAGGCCAGATTATGCAACCTTGCAAGACCCTGTTTAAAAGAATAAAACCCAGTATCACAAAATAAATTAATAAAACAATAAAAAGGACTGCAGATCTAGCTCATTGATAGAGTGCCCCTGGGTTCAATCTTCAGTACCACAAAAACAAAACAACAAAAACCAATGTATTGTTTGCCTGTACAGTGTTTTTCTTTGTAGATATTCTGTTTACATGATTATTGCATACATTTACAGGTCCAAAATACTATCATTGTTATTTTTCCCCCTTATTTGTTGAAGTGAAATGATGGCTTTATATACATATCAAGTAAATTGTTTGCTACTTAAGTGTTCTGTGCAAACTCAAATGATTGATGTTGCAAAATGCTAAGAAGTACATAAAATATATGCTGTGGGTCTAAGTTTATTATTTGAAACTATTTTATTAGTAGTTAAAAACTGCTTATTTAAATCTCTAATGGGAATCTCAGGAGAGAACTGAGGGCAAAAGAAATCATGAGTTAGTGAGAAATGAAAATATAAAAGGTAAAAGATAACTGATAATAGAAGCTCTCTTAATAAGACTGTTTCCTGAAGGAACTTTGTAAACATTCAGTGTAAGGGATTTTATAAAGTTTAAATCTGTTAAAAAATTTAGTGAAATAGGTTTAGATTGTTTTAGGCATTCACATTGACAATTATATTTCAGAAATGGGAAAAATACTAACAGCATTTAGAAACAATAGGGCAGAATTTAAAAGATACCAAGTAAATATTAATGTAAGAGTAAAATAGGAGCTTTCATAGCATGTATTATGTTCCTGATTTGGATGATAGCTTTATTTCTTTGTAATGTTCCTATGATAGTAGTTTGTTTTTGCTCTTTAACAGATTGGAAAATGTTGGTTATTAAGTACTGTATTGTTAAGTGTACTTAATCTTTCACTAGTATAAGATTGCTAAATTATAATCACATGTCTAAAATCAGATTAAGAAACTATATGTTCAATGCCTGGTTGTATTTATCTAATAAACTAACTTGTAATTAATTCTTACAGAACCAGACATAGGTATGCCTGAACAAGATGCTCAGAGATTTTTTCATCAACTCATGGCAGGGGTGGTAGGTATAATTATATCTTTTTTTTTGTTGTTGTTTTTTTTTTTTTTTTTTTTTTTTTTTTAATTTTTTATTGTTGGCTGTTCAAAACATTACATAGTTCTTGATATATCATATTTCACAATTTGATTCAAGTGGGTTATGAGCTCCCATTTTTACCCCATATACAGATTGCAGAATCACATCAGTTACACATCCATTGATTTACATATTGCCATACTAGTGTCTGTTGTATTCTGCTGCCTTTCCTATCCTCTACTATCCCCCCTCCCCTCCCCTCCCCTCCCCTCCCCTCTTCTCTCTCTGCTCCCTCTACTGACATTCGTTTGTCCCCCTTATATTATTTTTCCCCTTCCCCTCACTTCCTCTTGTATGTACTTTTGTATAACTCTGAGGGTCTCCTTCCATTTCCATGCATTTTCCCTTCTCTCTCCCTTTCCCTCCCACCTCTCATCCCTGTTTAATGTTAATCTTCTTCTCATGCTCTTCGACCCTACTCTGTTCTTAGTTACTCTCCTTATATCAAAGAAGACATTTGGCATTTGTTTTTTAGGGATTGGCTAGCTTCACTTAGCATAATCTGCTCTAATGCCATCCATTTCCCTGTAAATTCTATGATTTTGTCATTTTTTAATGCAGAGTAATACTCCATTGTGTATAAATGCCACATTTTTTTTATCCATTCATCCATTGAAGGGCATCTAGGTTGGTTCCACAGTCTAGCTATTGTGAATTGTGCTGCTATGAACATCGATGTAGCAGTGTCCCTGTAGCATGCTCTTTTTAGGTCTAATTATATCTTTTCCTTTTATTTAAAATTAGTACAAATAATAAGTTGCTAAATTCTGGTGTGTTCCTCTATTTCCCTGTAGGTTTATCTTCATGGCATTGGAATAACTCACAGGGACATTAAACCAGAAAATCTCCTTTTGGACGAAAGGGGTAAGTTTAATATTTTGTTACTACTAATTTTAAGACAGCCATTCAAATCAGGACGAAAATCTGAGAAGCCAAGGAAATTTGGGAGACTTGGTATATTTGGAATTCAAGTTTTTCATGATATAGTTGTGGATGAGAAGTCTTCCCTAGATCCAGGGTAGTTTGCTAAAGATGAATAAAAATAAGAATGCTTGAAAACAACTTTTTAAATGAATTAATAAAGGTAAGCTTCTATTGTAATACCTGAGACTTTAGCCATGAACTGTTCACCCTTTTTATCTATGACTTGCATAATATGCAAGAATTTTAGGTTTTTTTTTTTTTTTTGTTGTTGTTGTTTTTAATGGATGTCATAAAACTGAGGGGATGGATAGTGAAAATGTTATTTTACGGAGTCAGGACCAAAAAGATGAGGCAGTGATTTATGTCTGTTATGTTTAAGGCTGTATTCCTAACATTAGAGTAGTTCCTTGCAAATAGTAGATTTTTTAAAATAACCATTAAATAAATTAATCTAGCAGACTAGAGAGGTGGGCTGAATCTTAACAAGTTATTTTTTAATAGGAAAAGATCTGAAGTCTATTATTTGGATTGAAAAAAATTAACCAAGCATAATTAAATAGCTTGTTCTTGGCAGTTAACAGTTTTTAAAAGACATTTACCGGGCATTAAACTTGGTATTAGTCACCTGTGTGATTTGTTCACCGTATGTAAGAAAACTAAGTTGATATAGTGCCCGGAATGAGGAAAATAGTGGTCCAGTATTACTCTGGTGAGACTTCTCTGGAAATAGTGTTTCCTGGGGCCACATTGTAAGAGATGTATAGACCACTGATGTACTTTTATAGGAAAGTGAACAAATGAAGAGCTGTGAACTATGCAAAATAAGAAATTATTGCAGGAACTCAGGGAAACTTGCTAATTGTTAAATATGGTTCTTCAGAACCTGTGGGTGAAAACTGTTTAGAAGTAATTTGAATTAGCACAGGGATGATGTTCAGCAATGGATCTGTGCAAAAAAAGCATGGGTTGCTTTGACATGTAGTGAGTTTATAACATTGAACAGTGGAGTATTAATTATCAAGGATATTATAAAGGGAATTTAAACATTGCTTGTCTAACACTGTGCTTAAGTTATTTAGCTTTCTACAAGTCATTTCACAAGTCATATAGCAGTATTTTAGATATTCAGAAAATTTAGTGTATGATAAAAAGGAAACTTTGGATGATTTGTTGATGAATCCTGAGAGGTGAGCACACAGCACAATCTGAGGATTCTCATGCTTCTGTTTTCATGCTGTTCCCATTACTTGCTGAATGGTAATAGCCTTGATGATGTTAAATTCCATTCCTCCCCTTCCTCATACAAAGCAAGTCCTTTTTGAATTAAATGCAGGTTTCAAGATACACAAAACACCCTGGAAAAGGATTACGTGTCTCTAAATATGAAAGGCAATATAGGATAGTGTTAAGAGCTTGAACTTTGGAGTCATTTGAACCTAGGTTTAATCTAGGCCACCTCATTCTAGACATGTGGCCTTAGGTAAGTTGCTTAACTTCTCTCTGCCTCACTTTTCTTATTTATAAAATGGGGATAATAGGAGAATCTATCTGAGTTATGAGGATAAAGGATACAAACATCATGTGTTTTTGTAGAAGTATGTACCTGGAATGTATAAAACAGGTATTTATACCTATGTTATACATATACACATACATTTTAAAAATGCATAAATGGGGGGTTGTGGCTCAGTGGTGGAGTGCTTGCCTTGCATGTGTGAGACACGGTTCAATCCTTAGCACTACATAAAATAAATAAATAAAGGTACTGTGTTCGTCTACAACTAAAAAGAAGTGTATTACAAAAAATGCACACGTGTGTGTGTTTTTGTTATAAATAGTAGGTACCTATTATATAGTTGATGCTGAAAAAAATGGTAGCTATTATTACTATGTAAAATTAATTTACATTAAAGCATAGGTTATATGTTTTTTTCCTATGTGCATGTGGGTTTCATTTTTTTACCCTTTTAAGCTGTGTTTATGTAGTATAAAAAGTAATTTTATTTAAAACTTAATTCAGGTGCCCTCAAATTTTCATAATATAAATTACATATTATGATAAAGTGTAATGAACACCTATCTGCCTACCTGGCTTAAAAATAAATTAGTACTTATAAGAATGCTCACAGGTCTGTTGTTTAATAGACCTGTGAGTTGTTTGCAATTTTTCTATCAGCAATAAGAAAGTCTGAAATGGATAATTTGTAGCTGCAAACAATGACATAGCTGGATTTCAAGAATATAAGGCCATAGAGCAAAAAAATAAACTAAAAGAATTGATACGCTCTTTTTATATGAAATTAAAAAATATATAAAACCAATTATATTGTTGAAGTATGCAAACAGGGCAAAACATGAAAACAAAAGCAAGGGCATAATAAAATTCAGAATGGTGGGTGTCAGAAGGTAGGAGAGGGAATGGGTGTGTCCTTTTTCTTGGGTGTTAGGTGAGTGGTATTGTTCTTGTATAATATGTATTTTGTTTCTGTCCAGTATATAACTAATAATCGTTTAAAACAGAAATACAATGTTACCAGTATTTGAAGTCTTTCTGTATTCACTCACAAATACACTCTTCCTTTATTTTTGTCAGAACTATACTTGTAAATTTTGAATATATGACTTGTATTTCTCTAATCTAACTGAGTATTAGATTGCAAACAAAATAAAACAACAAAATTCAAGATAATCTATTAGTATTTTATGATAATCTGTTAGTATTTTAATTGATTACCACTTGGAACTCAGTCTCAGTTATTTGTCCAAATTGTGCCATAGATAGCTATTAAAAAAATATAGCTGGGCATAGTGTCATGTCACTCGTAATCCTAGTGGCTCTGAAGACTGAGGCAGGAGAATCTTGAGTTCAAAGCCAGCTTCAGCAACAGCAAGGTGATAAAGTAACTCAGTGAGACCCTGTCTCTAAATAAAATACAAAATAGGGCTGGGAATGTGGCTCAGTGTTCCAGTGTCCCTGGGTTCAATCTCAGGTATCCCCCACCCCCTCCAAAGAAAATCACAGTATTTACCTCCTGGAGTCAAATACAAGTAAGTATTAATGGCTTACATTAAATTGGGTATATGTGCTTGATTTTTAAAGAACCGAAGAATAGAGAAATGATGACTGTTACATAACTGTGCATAGGCTTAGTACAAAAATTGGATCATGTTATAATTTTTGCTATAACACTAGCCTATTCCCCACTTATATCCTTTCCATATTAGTACACCTTGTTTTTCTTTTTTTTTCTTAATAACTACTTATTGTATACATGTTTTATAAGCTTTTACCATTTATGGTGTGCATTTAAGTTATTTACAAATAACGTTGCTACAAATATCCTTGTTTGTGATGTTATGAGACTATTTCTGTGGATATGTTCCTAGAAGTGGGTATTACTAGCTGAAAGAGAAAATATTTTTTGAATCTTTGGCTGGATTGCCCTCTGAAAAACTTATAACCATTGACAACCTCTAATAACAGAGGGCCTTCCCAAGCTCCTAAGACTAGGATAGAACCCTTTTCTGTAAGATCCTGTCATGTTCTATATTTTTATAACTTTCTTGGCCATTACCTATTGTTAGTCTACCTCATTGATTTGTTCACTACCTGCGTTGGCTCGCACAGTGTCTGTTATGTGGATACAGTAGACATTCACTAAGTGTAAAAGTCCTACCTGCAGTTTTTATGTGCTGGAGATGGGAAGATTAGCGTGGAAGTTTGTTTTTTTTTGTACAGTTCCTCCTCTTTTTTTCTCAACATAGCTACTTCGACAAGAAGTTCTCATGGATTCTGGATCTTTATAGTTTGTTATGTCTTTACATATATATTCTTCTTGCCAATTGATTTTGTTTGCTGCTGAGAGTGTGCCTCCTATTTTACTATGTCTCATTCTTGCCTTCTATACCACTCATTGAAGGGCTTTTCTCTGCTTTCAGCCCAAGTTTGGAGTGTTCTTTACCAGAAGAATAGCCCCTTTTAACTCCAGTATCTTTCTTTAACCTGGTCCAAACTGTTTGGTGTGTTGGTGACAGTTTTCTTAAGTTAATATCAAAGATGAGGGCCTTTTCCAAGTTTAGCGTAGATGATTATGTCTTTAATTTTTCTTAAAAAAAAATTTTTGTTGTTGTTTATTTTGGTCAAGTTAAGGTAGAGAAATTCTACAAATCAGGTAATGTAGTCAATAAAACTTAATTCTAATATATCTATTTGCAAATTGTTTTTATCCAGTGCCATTCTTTTTTTTTTTTTTTTCTTTTGGTTTAGATAACCTCAAAATCTCTGACTTTGGCTTGGCAACAGTGTTTCGGCATAATAACCGTGAACGTTTATTGAACAAGATGTGTGGTACTTTACCTTATGTTGCTCCAGAACTTCTGAAGAGAAAAGAATTTCATGCAGAACCAGTTGATGTTTGGTCCTGTGGAATAGTGCTTACTGCAATGTTGGCTGGAGGTAATAATTATTTAGTCATGATAAAACTTTTGGTTTATGACTTTGTGGGTTGGTGCAATACTTGTAATCCCTCTGGAAGGCTAAGGCAGGAAGATTGCAAGTTTGAGGTCAGTCTCATCAACTTAGTGAAATTGTGTCTCAAAATTAACAAACAAATGATCTGTGGATGTGACTCAATGGTTAAGCACCCCTAGGTTCAATCCCTGTTATCAAAATGAACAAACAAAAAACTTCTGGCTTATGGAAAATCAGATTTGCTATACCAAAATAAATTAAATAAACCAATGGAGTTTGTGTTTATGTAATAGTATTTTAATACTGTCTTAATCAGTTTGGGTTGCTATAACAAAGTACTGTAGACTGGGTGGCTTATAAATAGCAAAGATTTATTTCTCACAAAGCCTGGAATGAAGGTGCCAGCATATTCTGGTAAGGATTCTCTTTCAAGTAACCAGCTGATTATGTCCTCATATGATGCAGAGCAGAGAGAACAGAAGCTCTCTGTGTTTTCATAACAACAATGATCCCATGAGGATCATGAGGGATCCTACCCTCATGAACCCAATCCCTGCCCAAAAAGAGCTGACCTCTAAGTACCATCACCTTGTGGGTTAGAATTTCAACATGAATTTTGAGGTGGAAACAAATATTTAATCACTGCAAGTAGTAACTTATCCATAACTAACTTGTAATCCCCAAAGTTTTTAAAAATGTGGTATGTGTATCTATTAAATGAAAAGTCAAAATAGCTGTCTCTTTAAAAGTCATGTAAATGTTTTTTGGTGATACTAGGGATTAAACCCAGAACTTCACACATGGTAGGCAATCACTACCACTGAAGAACATTCCCAGACCTTTTTTAATATTTTATCTTGAGACAGGGTCTCTTTAAATTGCCAGTCTGGCCTTGAATTTGTGATGCTGCTTCAGCCTTCCTAGTAGCTGGGATTATAGGCTTATGCCACTGTGCCATGCTTCATGTAAGTACTTTTGAAAGAGTAGGATAAGAAGTGGCTCGTCTTTTCTTTAAAGTGCCTGTGAAGCTTCTACAAAACTTCTTTTCCCATTTTGTAAGACATTGAGTTAATCTGAAGGAAACTTTGTATGGATTTGTAATGATTATTTTTCCTTGAAATTTTTACAGTATAATTTTGTTAATATGAGGGAATTGTAACTTGTTTTATTGTAGAATTGCCATGGGACCAGCCCAGTGACAGTTGCCAGGAATATTCTGATTGGAAAGAAAAAAAGACATACCTCAACCCTTGGAAAAAAATTGATTCTGCTCCTCTAGGTAACTGGGTTATCTTGATTGATACAGATTTCTTAGATTTAAGTCTTGTGGTATTTGAATTTTTCTTAACATTTTTTTTTTATAACTTTTTTTTTTTTTTATTGTGGTGCTGGGTATTGAACCTAGGGCCTTGTGTATGTGAAGCAGGCACTCTACCTACTAAACTATATCCCCCAGCCCCTCTGTTATAACATTTTAATAATTAAATAAATAACCCATGATCCTTGTAAGTTAGGAAATATAAATAAAAATGAAAAAAAGCCTATAATTCCTTCACTTAGATGTAGCATTTTAAAGATATTCTGTGTGCTTCTGTGCTTTGCTGTAAATACTTTTAATGTTTATTACATAAGTTTTTATATATATATATATATATATATATATATAAATCAAAAGTTAGATCATACTACAAATGATATTTCATGACTTGTTCTTTGGTTTTAATATTCTTTGAAAAATTTTCCTTGCCTGTAATTGTAAATCTGTGTCATTGTTTTTAAAGGCTTGATGATATTCTGCTACATGGATGTGCTTTACTCATTCATTAGAAATTTATTTTGTAAATTTTTACTGTTTTAAAACAGATCTGAGCTGGGCGTGGTGGCTCATGCCTATAATCCCAATGGTTTGAGAGCCGGGGCAGGAGGATCGTGAGTTCAAAGCCAGTCTCAGCAAAAGTGAGGTGCTAAGCAACTCAGTGAGACCCTGTCTCTAAATAAAATACAAAATAGGGCTGGGGATGTGGCTCAGTGGTCAAATGCCCTGAGTTCAATCCCTGGTACCAAAAAACAAACACACACACACATATGATAAGCATCCATGTAACTTAATCTTCACACATATCCTTAAATTATTTATATAAAATAAACCTCCATAAACAAAATTGCAGGGTCAAGGATGTATGTAGATTTGTAAGTACTGAATATTATTTTTCTAAATTGCTTTTCAAAAAGTTTATACTATTACAACAGAGTTTTATTTTTATTTTAAATTTAATATTAATGAAGTTGGAACCCTTTTGTCAGTTTTGCTCAGTGTTAGCAAGGAGATTTTCTTACCCTTGAAGGACTTTTCCCAGGGGTGCTCTACCACTGAGCTATATCCCCAACCCTTTTTATTTTCTATTTTGAAACAGGGTCTTTCTGAATTGTCCAGGCTGGCCTCAAACCTGTCATCCTCCTGCCTCAGGCTTCTTAGTCAAGGGTTACAGACATGTATCATCACATCCAGCTTTGACCTTTGCATTTGTTACAAATATTTTCTACAATTTATCACTTATTTCTATTTCATTTGATATTTTGACATGTAGAAAATTTTTTATTTTCAAATCTATAATCTAGTCATTTGTGATATCTCACTACATTGTCATATTTGGAAAGGTTTTTTTCTATGTCTACTGTTTTTTAAAAAGTCCCCTATGTTTTCATGGCTTCATTTTTACATTTAAATCTTTGGTCCATTAGAAAATAATTTTAATGTTAGGAAATGTATAACTTATTTGTCAAAATAATTAAGATTCCTTAGGATAATGGTTGGTTATATTACTCTCTTTAAAAAGTTGTTCATAAGTAAACACATAAAACTGTGCAAATGAGGAAGTAACATGAGAACATGATATGCTGAGTGATGAAATTTGGTGTTAAAAAATGGATAGAAGATTTCTTCGTATCTTTTTGTTAATGCCACATGGGGAAAAACATTTCTTTCAGACTCTTATTCTGCTTATTTGCAAATAATTGAGAATTAGATCTAGGAAGAATTTTCTAAAGTGTAGACAACAGCAAAGAAAAACTATATGAACTTAAATCAGTAATGAGTAACTTTATTCTTTCCCTTCTCCAGAAATAATATTTAGACATAAGAAGGCTAAAAGAGAATGTGTTCTTTAATCCTAAGTTGTAGGCTTTTCTAATATGTATGACTTTTTGTAAATATTGCTTTAATATTTTGCTTTCAGCTCTGCTGCATAAAATTCTAGTTGAGAATCCATCAGTAAGGATTACCATCCCAGACATCAAAAAAGACAGATGGTACAACAAGCCACTCAAGAAAGGTATTAGTTTTAATATATAAACATTTTCTCTGTGAAAGCATGAAAATTCACTATCATAAGTGAACACTACAAGATAGCTGGGGTCTCTTTCCTCATGGAGATTATTATGTCTAATAGGGAGAACAAGTATAAAAAGTAGTTTTGTTTATTAATAACTACAAAGGGGAAAATTGGAGTACTGTAGCCCATTGTTTGAACAAATGTTAAGGGACAGTGAAGACTTTTTTTCCTGAGGAAAAGACATGAAATTAAAGAGAAGTTAAACAGGCAAGTTGAGTGTCAGATCTGATTCTAAGCAGAGGGAGCAGCATTAGGAAAGTCTTAGTTTAGAAAGTCTGGTGCATTTGAGGAACTTTAAACAAGGATAGTGTGGCATGGGCCTTGTCTGTCTTCATCCTTGTGTTAACAATCATTAGCACAGTGCAAGGCATGTTGCAGGCACGTGGTAAATTTGAGTAAATGAGTAGGGAAGTGGGAGAGGGAGAGATGACGCTGGAGAGGCAGATAGCAGCCAAGATATGAGAATGAGGCCTTGTGATCTATTTTAAGTATTTTGGACCCTAGCTTAAAGCCATTAGGGTCATATATTTGGTTTTAAAAGATCCTTTGGTTTTTTGGTTTTAAAAGATCTACTCTTTTTCATTGTTTTTGATGAATAGAAATAGGCTAAGGGTAGTAGATTAGATGGGAGAAGATGGTAGTTTGGAATAGGTTAGTTGTAATGGTATTAGAGAAGAGAGGTGGATTCCAAAGAAATTTAAGAACAGCTAGTGATTGTTTAGATGTGGGAAATGAAGGGAGATGAACAGTCAAGGGTGACTCTAGTTCTGATAACTCAGGAGGAGGAACAGATTTGGGAAGAAATTTTATTTAATTTTTGAGGAAATGAGTAAAAACTGTTCAGTAGTTTGTGTGTGTGTGTGTGAGAGAGAGAGAGAGAGAGAAAGGAGAGAGAGAGAGAGAGCACACTTTAAGACTAGGCTTTAGATATCAATTTTGGGAATTTAAACCATGGTAGTAAAGGAAATTTTAGAGAATTTGAAGGGATGCCAATATTCAAGTTGTAGGTAGAGACCAAGGAAACAGTAATCAGAGAGATGGCAGGAATAACTGGAGAATGTAGAGTAGTGGAGGCTAAGGGAAGAAAGTTTATGACAATGACAGTTCCTGTTAACTGGACCAAGAACAGGAAGGCTAAATTTTGTCCATTGAATTTCATGATATGGCATTTATTCATGATCTTGGCAAGAATAATTTCTAAATCACATGGATATAACTTCTCTTTCCTCATTAATTATTATTATTTCTTTCACTGCTAATGATCAAACACAGTGCCTCATGCATGCTAGGCAAGCACTCTACCACTGAGCTATACTCATAGGCCTGAAATAGTTCAACATTTTTTTTCTTTTTTTTTTTTTTTTTAGTACTAGGGATTGAACCCAGTTCTTGTACATGCTAGTCAAGTGCTCTGCCACTGAGTTATGTCCCCCATTATTTTTCCTTAACTTTTAATACTTCCTTCCCCAATCTCATCCTCCGTTAGTAGCAGAACTTCCTATTTCACTGGGAAATAGAACAACGCAGAATGGAATTCACAAGCTCCCACCACGTTCTTCTCCCATCTAACTGCCTCTGTGCTCCAAGACTCTACTGTGTACCCTGTTGCTATGGATAAATTGCTCTACATATGAATCAACACTTGCCTATTCAAAGAGATCTGACAGTTCTTCTCTTTTCCCAAATCACTTCTTTTTCTTCTCCACTGCATCTTGTCAGCATACCAACATGCTATTTCTTCCATCATGAAAACAAACAAAAAGTTAAATAAATACACAAACAATTCAGTAAGTTAAATAGTAATAAAACTTCTCTTAAACTCATTTCTCTCTATCATTCCAGTTTTCTTTTTACAACTGAACATCTCTAAAGATGTTTCTAATTTCTAACACCTCATAGCCAGTTTTAAGGATTTCCATCTACGTTGTTGCCAAACTAATAATCAGTTCTCAGATTTCCTCTTAGTCTGTCTGATCAGCAGCATTTTATTGCAATTGGTCATGGCTTCCTCCTTTAAAAACTGTCTTCATTTAACTCCCAGATATTACACTCTCTTTACTTTTATTGGCTACTCTTTTTCAACCTCCCATGATGGTTTTCCTTTATGAACTGAGCCTCCTAATAGTGGAGCAGACCAGGGCTCAACTGATGAACCTCTTTTCTTGTCACATTAACTCCATTATTAATTTTTTTCAGTCTCAGGGCTTTAAGTAAATCTTTATACTTATAAATAACCACATTTATGTCAACCTGGACTTTTTCTATGAACTCCAAACTCATTTGCCTAGTATTTCAAATTTCCCTTGAGTTTTAAGAGGCATCTTAAACTTTGAAATGTCCCAAACTGATTTACTGATTGTTCTCCTTCATACCTCCTCCTATCAGAGTCTTTTATATTTTGGTTGATGGTAACTGTGTCATTCTTGCCATACAGATCAGAAACTTTGAAGATAGCTTTTATTATCTTTATTTCCTATCCAATCTACAGGGAATTTCTGTTAACCTCTACCTTTAAAAGTTCTCAAATCTGACCACCTTTTATCACCTCCACTGATACCCTGTCAGTTGAAACCACCATGATCCTTTGCCCAAGAGTGTTCTGATTAAAAGGTGAGTTAGAGCTGGGTGTGGTTACACACTTTTGTATTACCAGAGACTTGGGAAGTTGAAGGAACAGTATTGTAAGTTTCGGACCATCCTTGACAACTTGATGAGACCCTGTCTCAAAAATTTTTAAAAAGGGCTGGGGATATAGCTCAGTTGTAAGTAGCCCTGGGTTTAATCCCCAGTACTAAAACGAAAGAAAGAAAGAAAAAGAAAAAAAGTAAGACGTCACTGTTAAAAATGTCACTGTTTTGCTCAAATATTCCAGTGCTTTACTTTTCACTCAGTATATGAGCTAAAGTCTGTTCATTTGACTTGCAAGGTCTTATACAATCTCTCTTTCATTACTTCTCAGACTTAAAACTGCTCTTCCTCTTGGTCATAGCTGTATTTGTCTTCTCATTATTCTTCAATCACTCCATGTTCACTTTTACTTTATTTTTATAATGACTAATATGACTGGGACCCCCACCCTCTGAGACTTACTCATATATATTGTTCTGTCACCTTATTTGGGTATTGACTTCAGTGTCATCTTTTCAGAAAGAAGTTATTGGCCATCCAAGAAAACTTTAAAACTATCCCTTTCTCCCTGCAACCTACTTGTTGTGTTATTTTCCTTCATTGTATTTATTACCATTTAACTTACTGGATTTGAACTTATTATTTTACTTCATTTTGTCTCTTCAGTAGAGTACAGGATTTAAGAAGTCAATGATTTTTGTCGGTTTTGTTCAGTGTTAGATATTTAATACCTAAAATAATGCTTGGTACATAGATTTAGTAAAATGTTTGAAAGATAAAAAGGTTGTTTAATCTTAGCATGTTTAATTGGTTTGGTGACAGATCCAGTACAGGAAAAGGCTGTAAGTCTTAAAAGAAAGGGAATAAGTAGCAGAGCATCAAGATCTCTGAGGAGGTAGGAGTGTATGGGCTCCTTAGCACAAATGGAGGGTATATTTTGATGGATTCCTTCTGATGGGAGGATGCAGAGGAGGAAAAAAAGATGGGTAAGAATGCAAGTAAATTTGCAGATTTGGTGGTGACATGTTGAGATAATTAAAAGGTTTTACTTTCTCTATGGATGAGAGATGGTATCATATGTTAAGTAATGTGGTGATGGCAGTGGTCCTGGAAATTTCAGAAGAGTATAGAAAGGGAGAGAAGGCTGGAGAAAGGGAGGAAAGGCTGACTAGAGAAACAAATAGGATTGATAGGATTGACTGACACTGTTGAGGGTCTAGCTAAGGAGTATAACCATGAATTTGTGGGAGCATCATTTTCTTTCTTTAAATGTTTTATTCTTTTTAGTTATACATGACAGTATAATATATTTTGACATATCATACATACATGGAGTTTAACTTCCCATTCTTGTGGTTATACATAATATGGAGTTGTACTGGTTGTGTATGCACATATGAACATATGCCTGATTCATTCTACTGTCTTTCTTATTCCCATCCATACTCCCTTCCCTTCATCCCCCTTTGTCTAATACAGTGAACTTCTAACCCCCACCCCTCAACACCCCCATTATTGTGAGTCAGCTTCTGCTTATCGGAGAGAACATTTGGCCTTTAGGTTTTGTTATTGGCTTGTTTCACTTAGCTTGATAGTAGTCTCCAGTTCCATCCATTTACTGACAAATGCCATAATTTCATTCTTCTGTATGGCTGAGTGTTGTGTATATGTACCATATTTTCTTTATCCATTCATCTGTTGAAGGGCACCTAGGTTGGTTCCATAGATTAGCTATGAACTCTTATAAACATTGATGTGGTAGCATCATTTTCTTTTTTTTTTTTTTTTTTTTTTTAGCATCATTTTCTATATAATGATTATTCTACGCAAAGCTTTTCTTTTCCAGGGAAGCAGAATGTTGGATAGAACAGATTCATAATGTCTGTTGCCATTATCAGAAATTATTCTTCATTTTGAAAAGTTTTTTTTTTTTTTCTTTTAGCTAGCTGTCTCTGTCTTTGTAGAATAGTATTGTTACCATAAAAGATGCCATTAAAATTGTGTCCTTAGTATGATACCCCACACACTGAACATACTTGTGAAGTACCTAATTTGATAGGTGAGTCTTTGTACGTTTCTAACTTGACCACATGTCTTACAAAAGCATGTAGGAAGAGCCATTATTTGTTGTATGAGTATTCTGTTCTGTAAATGGTTCTTGATGTCGTTTTACTTATTCAAGTTGCCATTTGGGTTAATTAAAAAATAATTCCGTAGAAGACTTAAACCTGGTATTTCTTTTTTTTTAAGGGGCAAAGAGGCCTCGAGTCACATCTGGTGGTGTGTCAGAGTCTCCTGGTGGATTCTCTAAGCACATTCATTCCAATTTGGACTTCTCTCCCGTAAGCAGTGCTTCTAGGTAAGACTGATAAAAGATTAAGTAGTTATTGAAGAATTCCTCATGGAGAATAATACATGTATATATGTATTTTTAAAATAATGAATATAATTTTGTCAGTGCAAGAATGGTTGATATAAGAAAAGCCTGGTGAGTTTTACTTAAAAGCATATATTTGGCTGGGCATGGTGGCATAAGCCTGTAGTCAGTCCTAGCTACTCCAGAGGTAGGAGGATAACAAGTTCAAGGCCAGCCTGGGCAACATGGCAAGACCCTATCTCAGAAAACTAACTAATTAAAAATTAAAGCTAGGCATGGTGGTGCACACCTGTAATCCCAGTGGCTCAGGAGGGTGAGGCTGAGGATCACAAGTTCAAAGCCAGCCTCAGCAACTTAGCAAGGTAGTAAGCAACCTAATGAGACCCTGTCTCAAAATAAAAAATAGAGGTCAGGTGGTGGAGAGTAGAAATTCAGTGGATTAGACAAAGGGAACGAAGGGAAGGGGGCTGGGGAATAAGAATAGGAATCCTAGACAATAGAATGGACCTGACATAACTTTCCTAGTACATATGAATACACTACAATGAATCTCCACATCATGTACAATCACAAGAATGGGATCCTAATTAGAATAAGATATACTCCGTGTTTGTATAAATATGTCAAAATATACCCTACTGCCATTATATCTAAAAAGAACAAATAAAATTTTAAAAAATAAATAAAAAGGGCTGGGGATGTTGCTCAGTGGTTAAGTGCCTCTGGATTTAATACCTGGTACCAAAAAGAATGAAGAAAAGTATAAAGTCATATACTTAAAAAAAAAATTAAAGACATATTTTCCTTTCTCTTAATGTCTTAGTGAAGAAAATGTGAAGTATTCCAGTTCTCAACCAGAACCACGTACAGGGCTTTCCTTGTGGGACACCAGTCCCTCATACATTGATAAACTGGTACAAGGAATCAGTTTTTCCCAACCGGCATGTCCTGATCATATGCTTCTAAATAGTCAGTTACTTGGCACCCCAGGATCCTCACAGGTAAGGGAATTTCCTTTTTTAAGTAAATAATGGTTGTCCTTTATTTTTATTGTCTTGAAGTCTTTTAAAATGTGGAAATCTTAGATATATAGTAGTAATACTTTTGATTTATACATAGTTTTTGGACAAGGAAGAAAGAATGAATTAGAGGACACCTTCATGGAAAAGAATTCTAAATCACAGAAAAAAAAAAAAAAAGCTATGTTGTGAGTGCTTTTGGTCTTAATGGGCTTACTCAGCTTTCTGTTTGGCACATAGAACCCTTGGCAACGCTTGGTCAAAAGAATGACACGATTCTTTACCAAACTGGATGCAGACAAATCTTATCAGTGCCTGAAAGAGACTTGTGAGAAACTGGGCTATCAATGGAAAAAGAGTTGTATGAATCAGGTATGTTGATTTTCATATATCCTTTCCTGCAGAAAATTCAATATGTGAATATAAACTCTCATCATTAGTATCTTCCAAAAATAGAAAGCAGTTTAATTTGAAAAAGAAAGAGTTGAAATTGGAGGAATTTTCAATAAAATGTTCATGATTTTAAGGAATAATATGTTTTTTTTTTTCCAAATACCTCTCCAGGTTCATAAAAATATTAATGGACTGAAATAATTGTTTTCTTAAAGGCTATTATGCCTCAATTGTAGATAATCTCATATTTCTTCTCATCTCCCCTGATCCCACCTACCAATTTTTGTTGTGTGTGTTGTTATAGTATAATTATAACATTTACTTGTTAGTCTAGTCTATCATTAGGCTTTAAAAAACGTTAATATGACGAAAGACAAGTATAGGGAGTTAATCTGTATTAACGGATACTAAAGAGACCTGATAACTAAATGCAAAGAATGCTCTTTCATTAGATCATAGATTTTAAAACAACTTTGAAGGATGTCATTGGAACTATAGGGAGAATTAGAATATGGACTTTATATTAATGTTTTTGTAGCATTGTCAAGTGGTGTGATGATATTGTTGTTTGTAAAATGTCCTTATTACAAGAGAAACATGTTGAAGTAAGGTTGAAGTAATAACTTAAAAAAACTTAAAGAAAGGCAAATAGCTATACAAAAACAATCAAACCCACACATACTTAGATAAGGCAAATGAAGGATATATAGTTATTTATCACACAAATGTTTCTTGTAATTTGGACTGGGCTTAGCTGGGCAAATCTGCCAATCTTGCATGGCCTTATTCATCTAGCTGTAGTCATTCAGTGGCTTTGCTGTGGCAATCAGTCTAAGATGTCCTCATCGTTATGTTTGTGTCTTGATATTGGTTGTTGGCAAGGAATTTCTTTTCATGTCACTCATCTAGGCCATTGGAACATTCTAAAAGGCTGAAAGTGGAAGTTGTAAGTCCTCTCCAGATCTTTGCCATCTTCTGATTTCTGCCCTAGCTTTTTAGCCACAAACCTAGCCTCTCCTTTTCTCTCTTACATTTTCATAATTTTGTTTTCTAATTGCATTTTTATTTTATTTCTTCTTTCAATTGTATTTGGGTAAAATGCTAAATTTCTTTTGTTGCCAAGAGTTACACAGAGCCCATCCATGTTTATAGTGTTTTTTGTTTTGTTTTGTTTTGTTTTTGGTATTGGGGATTGAACTCAGGGGCACTCGACCACTGAGCTACATCCCCAGCCCTATTTTGTATTTTATTTAGAGACAGGGTCTCACTGAGTTGCTTAGTGCCTCAATTTTGCTGAGACTGGCTTTGAAGTTGCAATCTTCCTCCCTCAGCCTCCTGAGCCGCTGGGATTATAGGTGTGCACCACCATGCTTGGCCTTATAGGGTGTTTTGGCTTGGACACACATGCACATCTATGGGGAATTAGATTTTCACATATTTGATACTACTTGTTATGAAACTACCCTGTATGTTTTTATCATAGAAGTGTCACTGACATGAGCATTTGGTTTTTGTTTAATGGCTAATCTTATTTTTTTGCCTCAGGTTACTGTATCAACAACTGATAGGAGAAATAACAAACTGATCTTCAAAGTGAATTTGGTAGAAATGGATGAGAAGATATTGGTTGACTTCCGGCTTTCTAAGGTATTTTTGATATATTTCATTGTAGTATTCTTTCTATGGAAATATTTCTATATGGAGATATAGGTATAGATATATATATATATATTTTTTGGTGGGGGGGTACCAGGAATTAAACTCAGGGGCACTTGACCATTGAGCCACATCCCCAGCCCTATTTTGTGTTTTATTTAGAGACAGGATCTCACTGAGTTGCTTAACGCCTTGCTTTTGCTGAGGCTGGCTTTGAACTTAACAATCCTCCTGCCTCAGCTTCCTTAGCTGCTGGGATTACAAGCTAAATGGATTTTTTAAAATGGCAATATTTATACAATAGTCTCCCCACTTGCACTTTTGCTTTCTGCAGTTTCAGTTTCTCTCTCTTTTTTTTTCCTTGAGGTCACCCATACCCCAAAAATATTAAATGTAAAGTTCCAGAATTAAATAATTCGTATTTAAATTGAGCATAGTTCTGAGTAGCATGATGAAATCTTGCATTGTTCTACTCCATCCCACCTGGGATAAGAGTTAAGTATTCAGCATAAAAACCTTAAGTATAGATTTTTATTCATGCCAAATACAGTACTTGTCTGTTACTCACTTATTATCTTTTCTAGTTATCACATTGATTTTCATAGTACTGCAGTGCTTATGTTCAAAGAATGCTTATTTTACTTAATAGTGGCCCAAAGTGCAAGGGTAGTATGGTTATACTTGCTCTAGTTTATTACTAATTATATTAATCTCTTACTATGTCTTATTTACAGACTAAACTTTATCATAGGGATGTGTTTGCATATATACATACAGAAAGAAGAATGCACATGGTGGATATAGTATAGGGTTTCATACTCTCCATGGTTTCAGGGAGTCTTAGAATGTGTGGATAAAAGAGAACTGCTTATTTGGCATTTGTAAATATATGGTAACTTGCTTTGTTCATTCAGTATTATGAACTTAGTTAGATTTTCACATATTTGATACTACTTGTAACTACCCTGTATGTTTTTATCGTAGAAGTGTCACTGACATGAGCATATGGTTTTTGTTTAATAACTAATCTTATTTTTTTGCCTCAGGTTACTGTATTAATAACTTTTCATTATCTGTTCTTCCAAAACATGATTTTTTGTAATTGATATTTATTATAAAAGTTTTTTTGTTTTTGTAGAAATGTAGATTAATATGAAAATAAAAATAATCCCAAATTATGCTTCTTAGCAGTAATCACCCCTAATATTTTGAAACATTGTTTTTTTGGTTTATGTTTAGTTTTTTAATATTATAATAATAAATGTACATCATATAATAGATTCTTATTTGATATAGTAATTCTGTGATTTTTTTTCTTATACATTGATTTTTTTATATATTGATTTTTTTTTTCCTTTTGGTCACATTTCTGATTATTTCTATTTTTAAAGCTCTTGACATGTAATACCAAAATAGTATTTTTTTCTCTTTCCTAAGATATTGTTGTATGTAGCTCTGAAGAAGGTTGGGAGGGTGTAGTTCACATTTTTTTGTTTTTTTAAAGTTTTTAAAAAAATATTTATTCTTTAGTTTTAGTTGGACACAATATCTTTAATTTATTTATTTATTATTATGTGTTGCTGAGGATCGAACCCAGGGCCTCGCCCGTGCTAGGTGAGCACTCAACCGCTAAGCCACAACCCCAGCCCTAGTTCACATTTTTTTATATTGAACATTTGCTACAATACTGTCTTCCAGATCCTTGCTGTGAAATTTAAATTGTGAAGGATGTATTATACTGAAATCCTTCTCAGAGCTGAATCTGTTGACTTCATTGCCATAGAATAATGACAACACTTGACTGTCCTTGTGTAGTTTATTTCAAGTTTACAAATTCCCACTACCTTTGAAAACAGTGGTTCAGAGATAACTAACCTTTAATACAGGCCTGATGCATTTTCTTGCTCTCTGAGCTCAGTATGGTGGGAATAGTGAAGAGCACAAAATTGGGTCAAAATTATTTATATAGTCATTTCCTCTGCTAGAATATTTGGTTTTTATAAGAGCACCTGAAAAGTATTGTAGCTGGACATATCTGAGGGTGTTTGTTTCTATTTCCTAGTAAATAATCTTTTTTTTTTTTTTTTTTTTTTTGACATTATTTTTATATATCATTCTTGCTATAGGGTGATGGTTTGGAGTTTAAGAGACACTTTCTGAAGATTAAAGGGAAGCTGAATGATGTTGTGAGCAGCCAGAAGGTTTGGCTTCCTGCCACATGATCGATCCATTATCTCTGGGGATTCCTGGTGAATATAGTGCTGCTATGTTGACATTATTCTTCCTAGAGAAGATTATCCTATTCTGCAAACTGCAAACAATAGTTCCTGAAGAGTTCTCTTCCCCTTTATCCAAACATCTTCCCATTCATTGTATGTTTTGCATACAAATAATAACTGTATCTTAATTGTCATAATTTGGGGAAAGGGATGGGTAGAATTCACTAGATATTTCTTTAGCAGTGTTTATTATCTGAATTTGAAATCCATCTGGTGAAAACCAAGTTTTGTGATACCTGACTTTATCAGCTCTTATACCAACATAATATTCTATTTTTACTAAAACATTTTGATACATCCCAAAGTGTACTGATTTAATTATAAGGATAAATTTGTAAAGACTAGCCCTTGTGACTTTTGGATACAAAAGTAGATTTATCAGTCTATGAGGTGGAAGCCAGGTTCAAAAAATGTATCTCCAGATCTGTACTTATATTTTCAAAAGGGTCTCACCAGTTATTCAAACCTGTTTTTGAGTTATAACGATTAATTAAAACTGCAAGTCTGTTTTTTTCTGGTGTAGCTAGTAACATATAAAATGCTAATTGGTCTTTCAAGAAGTTAAGCATAAACTGTAGTGCTTAACTAACTTTACTCAAAAATTAACGTTGCACATCTTAAGTATTTTCTATATTATTTTCTACTTTCACAGCCGTATTTTAATTCTTTACTATGGAAATAAATTCTATTTTGAAAATGAATATCTAACTCTGTGAACTTATTGGTGAGCCAGGCTTTTAGGTAATAAGGAATAGAAGGGGGAGGGAAGAGTATGGAAGCTATCAGAAATAGATCAGATTCCTGCTTTCTTTATCTGTTATATTTACTAAAACTTTATTTTTAAAATAAAATTTATATTAACTTCTGAATAAATGGGTTGGGGTCCTATATTGCTTTTTCTAGATAAATTAAAAAATTAATCAGTACCTCAGTCTGAAGAACATGTAAAGTTTTATGGTTAGAGTGTATCACATATTAGTATATACTGATATTGTGTTAATGGCAGCATACCCAGAGGAGGAATAAATTTGAACCTATTTTATTTATTTGAACCTATTTAAGAATTAAGCCAATACATTCTCAAGTATGGGAAAATTGCTGTTCTTGAGAATTTGCTGCCAGTCATTATTATCTATTAAAAGTTTTCTTATTTTGAGCTCTTTCCTGAGCTCCTGCCTTTGATAGCCACCACCTTTGACATTTCCACTTGAATGTCTAATAGGCATGTCATGACCAAAAACAGCTTTTGATTTAATTCTTCCAACCGGTTCCCCTTCCAAGTTCTCCCATCTCAATAAATGTTACTTTTTTTTTTTTCATATTAAGGTATTTTTAATTGGTTCCTAATAGTTATACTTTACATTAGGATTTATTTTGACATAAATAATGGATTACAGTTTGCTCTAGTTAAGTAAGTCCCCAGCACTTTAGCCTTACCCTCTACTTCCTCCTTCCCCCTGTTCTATTTCCTGTACTGATCTTTTTATTTATTTACATTTTTTAAAAAATCAGTGTCTTAAAAAAATTAGTGTCTTGTGAGTATATATAATGATGAGATTCACTGTATATTTATATATATGCATTGGAAAATTAGGTCAGATTCATTCACTATTTTTTCTTTTCCTCCCCCTCAATCCCCTTCTTTCCTGATCTTTCTTTTATTTTGATGGAATCCCCCCATTTTTTCTCTTTCTCTCCCTCATCCGTTACTTTCAAATCCTAGTTCCTTAAGCCAAAACCCTAAAAATTATCCTTAACACTTTTTTTCATATTCTATTTTTGATTCAGCAAATCCTCTTTAATTCAGCAAATATGTTCAAAATATATCCTGTTTCACACTTCTGTACCACTCTAGTTGAATACAGTCATCTTTTTATAGAATCCCTCAGCGTTATTTTTTTGAGAAAGTACTCTTAGAGATCTTTATAAAAATGTGAATCAGATGTCCCTTCCTTGCCCTCAATTCTCATGTCTTTTTATCACACTTAAAATTCAAGATTCAAAATTATGTGTGAGTTATTCAGCTTTATGTGATTGTCCTGTGACCACTGGTTTCATCTGTTGCTCAGTTGGTTCATTCTGCTTTCACTCCTTCAGCTTGGTGTTCTCACAAGATGAGCATATTCCCTGCTCAGGGACTTTTACTTGCTTTTCCTCTGCCTTGAGCACTTTTACTCCCAAATATTTGTGTGACTGTGCTTCACTTTGGGTTTCTGCTTAAATGTCATTTTCTCTGCAAAGTCTTTCCCCTAACTTTTCTCTGCAAAGTCTTTCCCCTAACTTATCTAAAAATAATACTCTTCTCTGTCACTTTCTTTTATTTCTTTTTATTGTGGTGCTTTTTACCTGACAGGATATTTTTATGTTTATTATGTTTCTCTATTGGAATATGTGATATATAAGCAAGGTCCTGGAAGGTCAGGGACCTTGTCCTCCCTGTTCAGTTCTATATCTTTGGCACCTAAAACAGTGCCTGTTACATTACAGTATGCAGAGTTGATATTATCTATTCTAAAAAAATGTCCAAAAGTTGCCCCATTGTCTCCATTTCTATTATTTAAGCTCATTCACATCCTCCCTGAATTTCTATATTTTTATCATTGCCTAATCTCCTTCCCTTAAACGTTTTTTTCCTTTACATAATCCCTAGTTTTTTTTTTTCGTTTGTTTGTTTTCTGTTTTTTTTTCATATAAGTTTTACTGTGACCTTCTCTTGATTAAAAACCTCTCATGGCTTCCATTGCCACTCTTATTTTGACCTACCTGACCTTACATGATTCACCCTCTATCCTCTTTGTTTACAGGACTCCAAACAGAGTTGCTTTCTTTCTGTTCATTCACTACGCCAAGGCCCATTCCTCTTAAGGGCTTTGCTTACTGCCTCCTGTGTCTATAACCCCTTCCAGTTGCTTGCAGGACTGAGAATTCAAATCTCAGCTCATATGTTTCTGCCACCCCAGTCAATATCACATTATTCTATTTTCTTCACAGAACTGACCACTATTTGAAATTGTCTATTGTCTGTTTCCCCCCACCAAAGTGTAAGCTTAGATTTTGTCATTCCTTTTCTCACTTGTATATCTAGTATATAGAACAATACCTGGAACATAGTAGGTATGACCATACCTGGAACAGTATCTGGAACATAATAGGTTTCTAAGGTTTGAATATTTACAGACCTTAGAAACTTCCCAGAACCTGTCCCAATCATAATCCTCTCCTTCTACAAGTAAACATAAAAGTGACTTGTGATAATTCTTTCCTAAGTTTTCTCAGGTTTTTGAGTATCTTCATACAATATAGTTTATGCATGTTAATTAATATAGTTTCTGTTTTTGAATTTTATATGTGAAATTATGATGTATGTATTTTGTGTCTACTGATTTTCCTAATAGCCATACTCTTACATGTGTAGAATTAATTGATTTTAATTATTATAGAGGATGCTTTTTAAAAACATTACTAATTATCCATTCTACTGCTAATGGACATTTGGATTATTTATTGTTTCATGCTATTATAAACAATCCTGCTGAGAACATTCTTACTCTATGTTTATGAGTTTCTATACTCTCTAGAGGTGTATACCTGGAAGTAGAATTGCTAGATCTTAGGATATATATATCTTCAATTTTAGTAGTGTAGTGGCAAACTATTTTCTAAAGTGATTGTATCAATTTACACTCTAATTTGAGAACACTTTATGTATTTGGAGATTGTGTTCTTAGGTTAGATGTTCATTATTCCTATTGTTTTTTTCTTTTTCTTCCTCTGTTTGTCAACTTGTGTTAACAAACATTTTCTCCCATTCTATCACTTATTATTCCACACTTCATGGAAGTTTATAATTTTGATGTAATCCTATTTAGACCTTTTCCATAGTTATTATTTATTCCTAAAGGATTTATTCCCTACTCCAAGTCTGAGAAGACTTTCTGGTAGATTATCATCTAAAAGCTTTATAGTTTTTGACTTATTAAGATCTATAATCTGCTTGAAATAGGGTGCATTATTTGTTGAAGAACTTATCCTTTTCCCACTACTTCTCATTGATATCCACTCAGTGTTCAGATGCTCAAATTATTTTTTATAGTTTGTTTTGAATAAGGATATAAATAAAGTCCATGCTTTATTGATCTTTAAGTTGATTTTAGTTCATAAATTTCCTCTATATCCTCCAACACCCTTATTTTTTTCTCTTGCATTTTATTGATTAATCTTCCTTAGTCTAAATTCACTGATTACATTGCTTTGGTGGTTTCACACGTTTCCTCTACCTTCTGAATTTCCTTTAGCTACAGATATTCAAGATACTAGTATGAATTACCTACGTTTAAGTAGTTAAAGCCATAAATTTCCATCTAAGCGCTGTTTTCCTTCATGCCACAAATTACCTAATTCATATTTTTGTGATTTGTTTTATCCATGGGTTATTTAGAAATAATCATTATATTTCTGAATTTCCAGACCTCGTAGGAATTGTTTTTATTTTAAAATTGTTTTTATTGAGAGATACCTTACAAACCATAAAATCCACCCCTTGAAGTAAGTGGTTTTGGGTTCATAAAGTTGTACGATCATAACCACTACCAAATTCCAAAATAATTCCATCATTCCAGAAAGAGATTCTATACTTGTAGCAGTCACCACTCATTTTTCCCTTCCTTGGTTCCTGGAAAATATTAATCTCCTTTCTGTTTCTATGGGTTTGCTTATTCTGGACATTTCATACATAAATAGAATTATATAGTATGTCTAGCTTCTTTCACTTGGTGTTTTCAAGGTTCATCTATGTTGTAGCATGTGTCATTACTCCTTTTTTTTCCCCCCATGTGACTGGAGATCTAACCTAGAGCCTCACACATGCTAAGCAAGTGCTACCATAGAGCTGCATCTCCAGCTCTTTTTGCTTTTAGAGATAGGGTCTTGCTAAGTTGCCCAGGATAGACTCAAACTTGTGATCTTCCTGCTTAGCTTCCTGAATAGTTGGGATTACATGTGCACACAATCTCAGTTCTCCCTTCTTATAGCTCAATAATATTTCACTGTGTATGTTTGTGTATATATGCACCCTACATTCTATGTATAATCATTTGAAGGACTTTGAGTTCTTTTTACTTTTGGGCTATTATGAATAAAACTGCTGTGAACATTCTTGTACAAATTTTTATGTCTGTATGTTTTCAGTTCTTTTGGGTAGGTACCTAGGAGTAGAATTAATTGCTGTATGGTGATAGTTTTACAAATATTTTGTCATTGAGTTTTTAAAAATATTTTTTAGGGGGCTGGGGATATAGCTCAGTTGATAGAGTGCTTGCCTTGCATACACAAGGCCGTGGGTTCAATCTCCAGCACCACTATTAAAAAAAAAAAAAAAATATATATATATATATATATATATATATATATATATATATTTTTTTTTTTTTAAGTTGTAGATGAACACAATACCTTTATAGTGGTGCTGGGATTGATCCCAGTGCCTCACATGTGCAAGGCAAGCACTGTACCACTGAGCTATAACTCCAGCCCCTTGTCATTGATTTTTACCTTAACTGTATTATGGTCACAGAATATTTTATATGGATTTAGTTGTCTGATAGTTGTTGATCTTGCATCATAGCTAAGAAAATAATGAATTTTTATAAATATTCTATATGTCTGCGCTTGAAAAAAAATTAGTGGGTACAGTTGTTTGGTG